GTGCTTATAGGACAGTATCGGAACTAGCGGCCCCGGCCGGAGTATTGGCGGGCATCCCGCCGATTGACCTAAAAATCAAAGAGAGAGCCACTAGATACTACAGTTAAAGAATGAGGTTATGAGGCAGTGGCAAATCAGATGGGAGAATGGAGTAAAAGGAGAGCAGTTGAGGAAACTAATCCCGGACCTGAGAAGATGGACAGAGAGGACCCATGGAGAACCGGACTACTTTCTGGTCACGGATGTTTCAATGCCTACTTATACAAGTTTCGCAGAATAGAATCTGATAAGTGCAAATACTGTAATCAGCCTGACGATCGAGACCATACAATGTTTGAGTGTCCGAGATGGGAAGACTATCGATTAGCTTTTATGAATTAAACCGACAAAACTTTCAACGCCCGAAGCATGATGGATGAGTTAATGGAGTCACCTGAGGGCTGGAGCCGAGCATATGGTGTGGTTAAAAATATATTGGAAGAGAAGATTAGGAACGAGTGATTACTAGACAACCCTTATTATGAAGTAATGCGAGAAATTCGAGCAGTTCCGTAATAAGAGGTGTAGGAAACGGAGGAGGGGAAGTTTTTAGTCGGTAGGCGAACTCCAGGAAATTCGAATCCGACACACGCCGCCCACCAGAACAGAAGGTCGGTTATGTCTTTAGAAGATTTTTTACCCCACTCACAAAAAAAAAATTCACAGTCCTTTACAAAGATGCAACCGGGGGGCATTGAAAATGATGAATAAAAACGTAAAAATATGATTAGTGTTAATATGAGTGTATTACATACATATGTTTAAATAACGAACTTAACAAAAAGCAACAGATTTAAAGATTCACTGAAAAAGTAGTGATGTTAACATTAAATAAAACATTATCAATAATAATTATGCGATCGCACCTATCCGTAAAACGAACAAGCAAAAAAAACAAAATAATATACAAAACATCAGGTTAACATGATGACAGATCATGATCGATGACAGATAAAGAATTCTTACGGAAAGTTACACTTTACGATATAATTTTTTAACTGTTAAAGGCAAACCCCATTTAAACACAAAACTTTTTAATACCTACTACTGTATCTAAAAGACATTTTTTTAAATTACTAAATTCTTAGCCACGCTTCTGTTTTTCTTGGCTATTGTGCGTCACGTCACAGATTAACAGGCCCACATTTGCACCACAAGGCGATGCTGCAGACCACTAGGTAGACCGGTCGTAGAAATTTATGTTATACAACTTGTAGTCAATCTACACAAATATTATCAAAAGCTTTTTTTCTTTTAAAATGTGTTCAGATTTTGTAAAAAGTATAAGTCAAAATCGCAAAACTTAAAATTGATATGAGTTTCTTAGTTTTTAACTTATATAGTGGCGAATTACAAAACTTCCTTTTCAATGAAAATTAATCAGTTAAATAAAATAATTTAATAAATTATTAGCTTTTTCCCACGACTACGTTCGCGTTACACCTTGAATCGTTCATGCATTGATTTAAATGATTTCTTACTTCTTTATAGAGAGCTAGTGAGCATAGATGTTTTTTTTTATTTTTCATCTTTTTTTTATTTATTAAGAGCACTAATACTTTCTTTATAGGTTATTTTTTATTCTTTGAAGGATAATTGGGGAAGATATATTTCGTTATGATGTCACTAAAAACCCTTGTATAAAATTTTATACTGTCTGGTTTATAATGTTATAGTATTGCATTTTCGTACAGCAAACTTTCATTCCCTATTCTACTCCCTAAGTGTATAAATTTCATAAATTCGCTTTATCTTTGTGCCAATTTTTATGTGCATAATCCAGAGGTCACCAAGTTTTATATAAATTTTTACTAACCCAAGCAGCATTTGGATGTCGGGACAACGTTCTATCACGCGACTAAACGTCGGGGTGCAACGTCGGCACAAGCTCGTGCCAACCCTAGTCTGCACTAGTTTGGAGAATAATTTTTGGGTCGAAACGACGTTGGATACCGACGTTGGCTCGAAGCCTAATTTAGTACAAACTGCAACGTTGTTTAAAATCCTAATTCACAGAAATACAAAACTAATATGGCGTCTAAGTCGCATTTTATCCTAAATTGGGATAATTATAGTAAAAATATTATATTTATAATTTAGTTAGAGACATATGTCAGATGGCAGTGAAGGAAAACAAAACAAAAGTATTTAAGTGTGGAGGATGTTTGAAGATCATAATTATTGAAACACTTTAACCGACTCTGTAACTCGTTACCCAAGGTAAAAAGTTAAACGCAAACAACTTTATTGATAAATGTATTGTTTCTACTTTAAAAAATACTAATGGGCCTTGAAATTAAAGAAGTTTTAAAAATTTTCTTGAATTTTTTTTTTAGTAAAATGAGAATAATTTATTCGCATTCGAAAAAATTGTTTCCGCGTATTTTTTAGGGTCAAATATTTCAAGTTAATGTATTCAAAAAGCAGGAATTGCTATTTTAAGAACGAAACATTTTCTTATTTAACAACATGGCGGCTTTAACTTTGTTGTTTTGGAGATTAAGATGGAGTAGTTCGAGTAGTCGCATACTGGACTAATAAAGTCGCAGTTCGGCCTTAACAGGTAGTATACTAGTCGCAAGATTGCCTAATTTAGTCATTCTAGAGTCTAGCTTGTGCCGCCCTCTATAATCTAAATAAACGAGGAAGTGTCGGTAATATATGTCGATGTATATTTAAATTTAGTTTTATATGTACCTTTCTTATGTCCCATTTTAATTAAGTTTTTTTTTTATAAAAACAAAAACAGCACTGAACTGTCTGACTGAACAGAACAATGAATTGAAAATTTAAGATTTAAGGTTATGGTTCAATACAGTTGCAAAAAGGTAGTGACTCTACGTCCTACCAACGTAAGAATAAGGAAATCTAAACAACGTTGGAATTAGTAAAACAGACGACGTTTGCATAACGTTGGAATAGGTCCTGAAACTGACGTCGGAAAACTCTATATTGTCCAACGTTGTAACTACGTTGTCCAAATCACCTAAAGATCACTTAAGCAAAAAAGGTTACAAGACAATGTTTATTCGACGTCGCAGAAGCTTCTACTTTGCTGTAGTACTAGTCCAACGTCGGCACAGCGTTATAAAAACGTTTAAATTTATTTTAATACCCAAGGTAGGGAGCTAACTATTTTTTGTAACTAATCCAACGTTGTGTTTAGTAAACATGTGGTCGCAAGTCGTGAAAATGCTACTTGGGAACTTTACCCATTTGGTTGATGAATTTCAAAAATTTCTTCTAATTCTTTTTGTAGGATTTCATTCTTCTAAACCAAATAGTAAGGAATTTTCATACAACAATCTGTTCCGACATAATTTTACTCTCTAAGAGCATGAATTTCCTAAAATCTCTTTGTGTAGCTAATTCGCTAATGTCGTTTAAACGAACCTTTGTGCTAATATTTATGTATCTAAAGCTGGCGGTATGAACTCACTCCTAAAATATCTAAAAACTTAATATATAATCTAACTGACACACCACTGACAATGACAACATAATGACAAATAATTTATTTCTGGAGGTATTGTGTATAGGTGTTTTTCAGGTATGTTTTAGTATTTAGTCGTTTTACACAAAGAAATAGCCATTAAGCACTATAAAAATACTTCATAACAAATCTACACATATATACCTTTCATTTAAAAAAAGGATCATCAAGAGTGGTGAAGCGGTTTCGGCGGGATGGATGCAACAAAAAAAACCTTTGAGCTTTTATATATTATGTATGGATTAATTATTTTTCTAACATATTTTACTTTGCAAATTTTTATAAATATTCAGACTCGCCAATATCGTAGTCCACCGTGTCCAGCCTGTTTAGCCAAATGTAGGCCGATTCCTCTTCAGCGACGCGCGGCGTCGTGACCCTGGCCGATGGAAGTCTTGAAGACGCTCATCCGCGCATAGGAACAAGTTGACTGCGTAGCGTATTGCGTATTAATCGATTCTGACTTTCTATCTCATGTATAACATGTTACGCAAGTTTATTATTTTAATCTCGATTTTAATAGATAAATATGTGAAATGCCACCTGAATATCTTACGCCATGACATGTTTTTACTTTTTTGTTATGGTAAAGTTTGTATAAACTTTATCCAATAACGTATATTTTCCTCCATTTGTGATTTTTTAATTTTAAGCGAAAATTAAGTATAACATTTTAGGAAAAAGAAATACTGTAATATTTAAAAGAATAAGAAGAAATTAGTCTTATTTTGAAAGAAAAATATAGAAAAAACTCTTTCTATAGAAAAAAGTCTTTATACTAACCAGAATTCGGTGACATATACGCGGTCTCACCGGAAACATTACTTATTACTTCACATAACTTGAAGAATATCTACTTTTAATAATGAACACTTCAGAAATACACCAGTAAAAACATTTATTATTTGAGATTAAAACTCGAATAAAATTATAAATATTAGTTACCGTAAACTCCCCTAATTTTGTCCGGACACCTAACATTGACCAAAAGATCACTGACCGGTATAATGCACCACAGCATCACATACTTCTATAATGTTGGTCATTTCTGTATACAAATAGTTATTTTAATGACCCATAGATGTCGTTATGCCCTAAGGTTATGCCCCGTCAACACAAATAGGCTTGAAATTATACGCGTAGTTACCGTTAAATATTTGGACGAGAAACACGTGAAAATTTTGAGTCCGAAAACTTTTCATTGTGGGTGAGAAACTAAAAAGACATAAGTCAAATCTTTCCTTGCGGTAAGTAGTCTAGTATGTTAGTAGTCTAATCCACCTTTTTTTTATTTTGTTATTCTTTTGTTTATGATAATGGTGATTTTTATTTCTTAAACATAACCTTTTTTTTTCTGTTCTCAACTTTGACCAGCGGTCAAAGTTACTTCCACGGTCAAAGTTATGATAACGTCAATCGAAAATCTGGTTCCCACTCTGATTTTTGTTTTATTTTTGGTTTTATAGACATGCCTAAAAGAAAATATCGGCGTTATGAGGACAGGGAAGATAAAGTATTGCTGGACAAAGTTTTGAGCATGATAAAATCAGGACGAATCTCAAGAACAAGAGCCGCCAATGAGTTTCATATTTCAAAAGGAACAATAATAAATAGGTTAAAAAGTCAGCACTGTGGTAAAATTGGGCGCCCGTTTGTTTTTTCAAAGGAAGAAGAAAATGCCATGGTAGCACACATTTTAAAAGTTAGTGAATGGGGATATCCTTTTTCCCGAGTTGATTTGCAACATTTAGCCAGCGAGTTTCTTAATAGAAAAGGTGTGAAGGTTCCTCAATTCCAAGAGGGTAATTTGCCAACGTTAAAATGGTGCACCAAATTCATAAGACGCCATGAAAATATGTTGTCATCTAGAATGTGTCAAAACCTGAAAACATCCAAAGCACAGGTTTCACCAGATACCATAAAGGCATATTTTGACGCTTTACAAATAACTTTAACGGAGAATAATGACTTTATTAGCCCTGATCGTATCTTTAACTACGATGAAACGAACCTCTCTGACGATCCTGGTACAAAGAAATATATTTTTAAAAAAGGCGTTAAGTACCCAGAGAGGATTCGAGACTCTACCAAATCTAGTGTCTCCATCATGTTTTGTGGATCGGCGGCCGGTAAAATAATACCACCATACGTTGTATACAAAGCTGAAAAAATATGGTTAACTTGGATGGAAGGAGGGCCGCCGAACACTCGTTACAATCGAAGTAAAAGTGGATGGTTCGATGCCACCATTTTTACTGACTGGTTTTTAAATCTCTTTGTGCCATATGTAAAAAAATATATAAACGGAAGAGTAGTATTATTGGGAGATAATCTTTCAAGTCATTTTACTCAGGAGGTTCTTAGTTCAGCTGAGAGGAACAATATAACGTTTGCTTGTTTGCCGAAAAACGCAACACATCTCACCCAGCCTCTAGATGTAGGTTTCTATGGTCCGTTAAAAAGAAGATGGAGAGAGATTTTAGACAATTGGAAGCAATCGCAAAAGAAAAATTCTCAAACGATTCAAAAAGATCACTTTCCACGTTTGTTAAAAAAATTAACAGAGGTCGTTGCGCCTAACAATTATTCACAAAACCTAATTTCAGGATTTAAAAAATGCGGAATTAGTCCTTTTAATTCTAAAGAAGTTTTAAACCGCCTACCCCAAGAAAACAATCACGACCAGAATTCTACTCCCGCATCGACTATGGTTTCCTCAATAGTAGTAGATATGTTAAAAAACATGAGATACGGCGATAATAGTGACGCCCCAAAAAAACGCAGATCTAAAGTTAATGTTCAGGCTGGAGCCAGCATTTCTGTAGAGGATTTATTGCTGAACAAGCCGCCTCAGGTTTCACTGCCTTCTTGTTCCACTGTCTCTACGAAGAAAAGACCTAAAAAGTCATCAAAGAAAAATGAGAGTGACGACCAATCTTCGGTTTCTGAAGAAGACATACATTATATGGATTCTTCAGAAGATGAAAATTGGGAGACTTATTGTGAAAAACAGTTAAAGGAACAAGAAAGAGAATGGTCGTCTGATGATGAGCAGCCTTGGCAGAATTATCTAACGCAATCGAAAAAAATGAAACCCAGTTAAAACAAACAAGTGAATTCAAGGCATTAAGTAAAGAAAATGAAATGCAAATTGACGTTGAGGAATACCATAGAGATATTAATGAGTGTATAGAGGTTGATGATTACTTACTTGTCAGTTTTAAGACTTCCTCAAAGTGTAACAGCAACAAATACTATGTTGGGAAGGTAGTTGCGAATGATCCGATTTTAGAATTATCATTTTTGCGAAACAAAAATTTAAAATTTTTCTGGCCCAACGTTGTGGATCACTCAATCATAGAAAAAAAACAGATCGTCTTAAAATTAAAAAAACCTCTTGAGAGAAAACGATATTTAGTTTTTGAAGAACTTCACAACAAGACTCAAAAGATAGAGTGATAGGTATTTTAAAAAAATAATCTTTTAGGTTAATTTTTTTAACTTTCTTTTCCTCATTGATTGTGTTACGGTTTAAACCAAAGAATTCCCTTTTAGTTAGTTTATTTAAGACGTAAGGCTAGGCAGGGTTTTTTATTTGTTAAGTTTAAGTGCCTTTTTATTTAATAAAGAGGGAAATTTGTTTTGTTTGTAAGCGATATTTTATGAATAAAAATATTTTGTATTTTTTTCACTTTAAATCAGATTTTTGTATTTTTATAGCTAACGCATTTTTTAAAAACATTTTTAGCGGTCAATGTTACTCTGCGCGACGGCAAAATTGGCTTGTCATAGATTTTAGGTGGTCAAAGTTACCTTCTAACGTCGTAACTTTGACCACCAAGCATTTTTTTTTTAAAAAATGGGACTATGTTCACGATATCGAAATAATGACTACATATGTCTATTAGCTTAAGTATAGCCCTAATATTGGCAATTTTGTTTAATTTTTATCGCTTAAGGTTAATAAGATTTTGCAAAATAAAGTTCAAAAGCGGTCAATGTTATGGGACTTTACGGTACCTATGTTGTTATAGCTTTTATAGGCCTGTTTAACGACTTAATAAGTTACCTAGCGAAAAAATCTGTGCGCGTACCTACCACTATTGTTACAGGTTAATTTTTTAAAGAAATATGTTACACAAATTAAAAACGCTAAAATTTTAATGGTGTTACTTGTGCATTATTGGCCTTATAATGCAATTAGTTCGAATTATATCTTCTTTAAATATAATTAGACTTTTTAACGACTTTTAAGTTACCTAGGAAAAAATTTGTGCGCGTACCTACCACTATTGTTACAGGTTAATTCGTTAAACAAATGTGTTACATATTACTCGTGGTATTAGTGGTATTATATTGGAATCAGCTTGGCATTAGTGGGGCATTATATGAGAAATTTTGGTATTTAATTTGTATTTTTGGCATTACTTTGGCATTAGTATACAGACATTTGTCAGCGGTTTACTCTTTGTAGATAATCAAAAGTTTTTGATAAAATTTGCTTTTTATGTCAGATCATTTCTGTGAAAAATTACATTAGATTTATATTAAAGACGCTGGGTAATTAAAACATTGACTAATAAAGCTTGTCCACTTTAAATAAGGGGTCACGAAATATCCTCCTTGGAGTGTTTGGGTTAAGGGGTGTATAATAAATTAATCGTTGTTTTATAATAAAAAACCATAAAACATTTATTTGTGAGTAAAATAATGCAATGGTTGGATATCTCTCCTTTATAATTAGGTGACTAAAAATACACTAAAATAATTAGAAAAAAAATCTTGTACTTATTTAGTAATTACGTCAATATTAATTGTTAGCATCACCAGTCAACACTCGCGCTCCTGGTCGCTCGCATAATAGGGATCGCGAGTATTGGCCGTAGTTCGGCAAGTGACCAGCGACGATCGGTGGGAGGGCGCCACCGTCGACGCACAATGCTCGCTGAAGCCTGTCAGCCGCCGATCATTCACTTGTTCCGCGTGCGCCTGGCGTAAACAGCTGTTTTGTATTTTGTTCTCGATTTACGCCAAATAAACCCCTTTTACTGTATTTTTGTGCAATCATTGAGTTTAACGCCCTAGAGATTCATCGTCTAAAATCAGAAGTGGGATAGAACTTACACCACAATAAGCTTTTGAGTGGCATGGTGAAACTTGGAGGATGCAGTTGAATAAGATAAGTACACAGTTTCTAATTAGGTTTACAAATCGAAAGTATTGGTTGCCTGTTTATGGCTTTGAAAGAGTACGAAAAGTTAATAGTTCAGTAATAATAATAATAAAGTAAATTTTCAAAGAAAATGAGTCACGGCGTCATGTCTCAAAAGTCAAGAAGCATTGCCGCATTTAGATTGAGCATTACAGCATTTATATTAAGCAGTTGAAGCCTGTATAAAGTTAAGGAGGGAAATATTACAATGATTATTATTAAAACAAGTATTTTCTGCATTATTTCATAGCGGTTTAAGTTTAATTAAGTTTTTATAGTCTGAAATTGTCTGAATAAGTTTTAATAATCTGTTTATTATTGGTAAATACATTAGTACCAGAATGGTGGTTTAAAATATCAGCCACACCATTTATATTTTAATTCTGAATAAGTTTTTCTAATTGCATGACAAATTCACCAAGAAAAAATAAAAAATATAGCCTTTCTTTTGACAAACTACACAACTCTAAAGTAAATATGTATTTAAATCTATGAATCATCCTGTATATCTATAAAAATACCTCCCTGTTAAATTTACGCTACTTTTGCATGCAAGTATACCTATTTTACAAAAATATGATTTGAGTGAAAATATAAAATAGGAAATCTGATATGAAGCTTTATCTAAACACAGGGTCGACTGTAGATAAACAATATTTTACGTTATTAATTAAGAAAAATTATAAAATACACAATATATCTGACAGTTCCAAAAAAGCAAAGTAAGAAATGAAACATAATTTATAGCATAAAATCAGTATTTTTTAAATTTTTAAGTCAACTGACCATTATCGTTTAATCTATCTATCCATCTATAAAATTTAATGTTTATTATTAAACTTATCTCAGACTCTCTATGAGGTAAAACTCTAAGATAAAAACTCTAAAAACCAAGAGTGATTTAAAACAAATTTATATGAATTTAGAAATAAATATGAACAGTATTTACTCACCTGTAATACAGATGCTTTTTGTTTAATTAAATATATTTCAAAATATTATCCAGCAGGTACAAAATACACATTACACATCACGTAAACACAACACATAAAACTCATAAAATAATAGTTTGTAATCCAAATATTCAAAAATACTGTTTCGTTTCTTCGTGGGGGACGAAAAAATTGATTTTTTTAATTATTTAGATATGCATTAAGGTATATTTCAACTCAACAGCTTATAAATAATTATTTTTTAAGACATAACCTAAACGAAACGAAATCAGAAGTCGAGAAAGATAAACAAAACTGCCGAATTTAGAAACGAATATGACTTTTTTTCCTTTTTTCTTGTCACAGTTGAAACAAACAAGGAAAGCTATTTTCGTAAAACATGCGTGAAACGTGCTAATAAGTAGCCCAATAGATGTGACCTCGCGCCCTTCCATTTTTGAACGATGGGCGGGTTTAACGAATTCCCCTCAAAGAAAATCGTAGGGGAATACAAAAATGCAGAACGGGCAAGGCGCCATCTACAAGACAGGATTTTACTAAGCCCTCATTGTATATCTATTTATACATAATCAAGGGTTATACTTAAAGTTGATCTAATCTCGATTGTTCCATGCTGGTGCGCCTTAACCGCTGAACCCGTGTTTTGCATTAGAAACGACGAGGTCATGTTAATGGGCTCAGTGTTGTATCATTAAACTTTGTTGAATTGTTTTGATATATTAATGTTTTGATCATGCTGAAGTGCCTTGGCCTCTGAGCTCGTGTTTTGCATTAGAAACGTCGTAGCCATGCCACAGGATTCAGCCTCTGAATCTGTGTTTAAACTGTACTAAGTTATACTTAAAGTTGATATTTTGAGTTGATCTTGTCTCGATTGTTCCATGCTGGTGCGCCTTAACCGCTGAACCCGTGTTTTGCATTAGAAACGACGAGGTCATGTTAATGGGCTCAGCCTCTGAGTCAATGTCGTGTTTAGATGATTATCAAACTGTTTTATTATGTTGAGTTTTGAGACAATTTATGGGCTGAAATATTGTGATTTGTAAATAATCGGTCTTGTGACGTGTTGTTTAAGTCACCTGCGGCGCGGCGTTAGTACGATGTCGTTGATTCTGTTAAACCAAGTTGTGTTTGTTAAAGAATGTGGTTCTTTGGATGAAAATATAGATTTTCAGAGTGAGTTGTTGGACCTCAATGATCGTCGGGACGCCGAAGTGTCAGGATTGGCCGTGTTAGCATCACCAGTCAACACTCGCGCTCCTGGTCGCTCGCATAATAGGGATCGCGAGTATTGGCCGTAGTTCGGCAAGTGACCAGCGACGATCGGTGGGAGGGCGCCACCGTCGACGCACAATGCTCGCTGAAGCCTGTCAGCCGCCGATCATTCACTTGTTCCGCGTGCGCCTGGCGTAAACAGCTGTTTTGTATTTTGTTCTCGATTTACGCCAAATAAACCCCTTTTACTGTATTTTTGTGCAATCATTGAGTTTAACGCCCTAGAGATTCATCGTCTAAAATTAATTAATTGACTTTCTAGTCTATTTTATTTTATGTACAAATATATTATTAAATTTTAAGCATTAAGTAATAAAACACTTTGTGCCCTCTTATATCGTAAGAGGTTACGAAATATACTCCTGGTTACACCCCTTACAGAAAACAGTGTAAGGGGTGTAAATAAATTGTATAATTACTGTTTTTTAAAATAAAAACTATAAAACATTTCTTATTTGTGAGATTAAAAAAAACAAAACAATGCATTGGTTAAAATAAGTACATTCAATACATATGTATGTGTTATAACATAATATAGCCATTACTATTATACTATTATTATTAAAATAATATGTGTGTGTAACATATTTCTTTAACGAATTAACCTGTAAACATTTATATGCCCAGTATATTTTTGTTTAACAAACCAATCAGGAAAAATCC